AAAAATTGGATTTTATCAAATGGTTTTTCTGAAATCACTGAGACAATCATGTGGGTTTTATCCTATATTCTCTTAATATAGCATACAAAATAAGGTTTTACCCTATATTCAGTATTATCTTAACTGATCTTAGGAAGTTTAACAAGTCTTTAACCTGGTATGGTATATAATCCTTTTTACATGTTGCTGGATTCAGAATAAAACTTTTAAAGGCATTTTGACTTTGGAAGAAATGCAGAAATTAGTCAGGTGAAATGTTCTCTTTATAAAATCTTCATGGTTTCAATGAAATTCTTAAAAATTAGAAAATTGAAATATCAGCATCTTTCATCATTAGGACCAATAGCCCCAAAGATTCAAAACAATTCTACTGAGTATAATGTAAGTGCCAATTAACAATGTAGACTGTTATTTTCAAACTATGCAAATTTGAACATTATGCAAATATTTTATTCACTTGGAAAAGGGGTTGTTTTTGTTCTTGCTAAATGCCCTTGAGTCAGTTCTTACTCAACAACCTTGTATAGTGTTTCGGAAGAGTAGCTTGTAGGTTTGAACAGCCAACCTTGAGGTTAGCAGTCCAAGCGCTTAGCTGACAGCACACCAGGACTCCATCAGTTCAATTCTGGTAAAGCTGTTCTTTTATAAATGCCATTATTTATTACTACAATTATAGGCTCAGAAACAAAAATCACTTTCTGAAACACAAAAAACAAGAAAGTTCAAGCTATGAAAATTTTTTTTTAATGTTTTTATTTGTATGTATACAATTTATTTGTATGCATACAATTTTCTGAGTTGATCCTCCCCACCCCCACTGTCCTCTAAATCTCCTAATCTAATCTTTAGTTGCTGTTGTTAATGTGATCCCAGTTAATACCTAGTTCTTGGGGGCTTACAGTGAACATTATAGATGTATCATGACTTTGGTTCTTTTTCAAAGTGAGTTTATAAAAGTCTGCAGCTCTTTCAGAAGCGAGAAAATATCCTGGGTACAATGAAGATTCAAATTTTATCTTATCATGTCCTGGAACGTGTCTCATAAAAAATATGATGCCACTTTTTGTATCATTGATATCTTCAGGAGGACTGATTTCCTATAGAGAAACAAGAATATTAGTTAATTGTTTAATGACATGAAACCTTTGAAATATGTAGTTTATTTTGAAGTATGCTGCTAAGAATTAAAGAAGGTTTTCTTCTCCAGAGTTAAGAGGGAAAATTATCTTAATAAAGGATTACTTATCTTTCATTAATTCATAATCTACAATTCTCCTTATCTGCTCTGGCTCTTCCTATCATGAGATGCACAATCTGATCCAGGTCTCTAGTTTTACCCCAATTTACCCACCAGATAGCTTCCTTCTCTCCTCTCTCATCAAATGGAGTGTACTTCTCTCCAAGATGAAGTAGAGTTTCAGCAACGACCACAGCCTCATTGGGCTAATGTCAATTTTTGTCGACTCATAGCTAAAGATATTGATGTCCTCCACCAACAGGCCTAAGTTAATGCTAGTTTCTGAGAGAGCACGAAGTACTAGGAATCTCAGTTCCTTCCTTCAATGGGGTCTGGATCACAAACTTACTGTAAATAGACTCAGTTCTTGTTCGAGGACTAAGTTTTGGGAGTTCTGGTAGCGTAGTGGTTACGAATTGGGCTGCGAACCGCAAGGTCAGCAGTTCGAAACTACCAGCTGTTTCGTGGGAGAAAGATGAGGCGTTTTGCTCCCGTAAAGATTTACAGCTTCAGAAACCCTGTACAGGGTCGCTATGAGTCGGAACCGACTCCATGGCACATAACCACCACCAAAGCTGTAATGGCTCAATCAGCAGCCTTTGATTCTGTCTCTCTGGCAAGCATTTCAGTTCCAGGCTGTTATGTGTAGTGTCAACTCCCCCATACTGTTCCATAGACCGTAGTCTTTATGGGAGCAGATCAACAGGTCTTTTCTCCCAGAGTCGCTGGTGGGTTGGAACTGCTGACCTTTTGGTTAGCAGCCAATAGCTTAACCACTCTGCCACCAGTTCCAAGGTGGTGGTGATGATGGTGGTGGTGTGTACTGGGGAGTCACTTATGACTCATAACAACCCTGGATGGGATTTCCGAGTCTGTAGTGGTTACAGGTTGGGCTGCTAATCACAAGATCAGGAGTTCAAAACTACCAGCTGTTCCACGGGAGAAAGATGAGGCTTTCTGCTATCGTAAACATGTATGATGTTGGAAACTCTATGTTGTTGTTGTTGTTGTTATGTGCCGTGGAGTCGGTTCCGACTCATAGCGACCCTGTACAGGGTTTCCGAGGCTGTTAATCTTTACGGGAGCAGAACGCCTCATCTTTCTCCCACGGAGCAGCTGGTAGTTTCGAACTGCTGATCTTGCGGTTCGCAGCCCGATTTGTAACCACTACGCTACCAGAGCTCCTTCTGGAAACCCTATACAGGGTCGCTATGAGTTGCATCTCACTCCATGGCATACCAAATCCTTGCAGGAGCAGAGAGCTTCATCTTTCTCCCGTGGAGTGCTTGGTGGACTCAAACTGCTTACCTTGTGGTATAACCTGCTACACTATCAGGGCTCCATACTGTTGTTCTTAAGTGCCATTGAATTGGTTCCGACCCACAGGGACTCTGTAGAGCATTTTTGAGGAGTGGCTGGTGAGTTTGAAACGCTAACCTTGTGGTTCAAATAGACCTTGCTGCTGAGAGCTTACCCTACAGCGCCATACCAGTACTCCACCAGGGCTCATATTAGTTTGGAATTACTGTCTTGAATGTAGCCTAATTGGCCAAGCTCTCTCCTAGAAGACCAAGTGCTGATCCATTTATCTTTCAACTGAAGAAAGTATAATCTTGTTGATCACGTAATTGCCAGTACTGCTTACACGTTTCCTATTATTGCATCATATCTGATTTTCAGGATAGACTAGAAAATGTGGGGCACACTCAGAGTTCTCCCACATTAATCCTAGAAGCAGTACGCATTTTGAACTTAATTTTAACACTATGGTAGCAAAGGTTTTCAAGAGCTATGGATTGACAAGAGATCTCCAGACCTAAAACAGCATTCCGGAATCATCCCAAGATGCCTGAAGGAATCTGGGGGATGCTTCCAAACTTTCCAAAGAATTATAAAATGTATAGTTGTAACTCTTGGTCTTGGTCCTTTACCAACAAGTGTGAATATTGAATTGATGATGATATAAACTAGTTCCTCTATTAGAACTTACTTCTGCAGCTGTTTATAGTATACCAGACCTAAGGACGAGACCCTAAATTAAGGAAGGCAATTTTGAACTAATCAATAAGCTAATGTTTAAGTGAAAAAGAATCTTTAGCCCCAAACTCCAGAATCTCTAGAAATACTAGAGGGTGATGAAACTTCTAGAAGGCACGGAAAGTTGTGACTGAAGGTGAGGATGGATGTAGGTATGTAAGTGATCTAACCACAGGTAGACATCACATTTCTGAATTGAGGCAAGGATATTCTGGAGCTTTTCTTGGTTTTGGTATTGACCACTCTGAGTCACCAGAGAAAGTACACAAATGGATCAGGAAACAATCCCAGTGACCTTGGGGAATCTTCAACATGGAAAGCCCTGGTGAAACTTGAATGTTTTGAGTCTAAGGAGTTCTTTACTTCAGGTGGGGATGAATCTGAACTTGAGGAAAATTAAGCTCAATATAGCATCTGTTCTTTTGGTCTTCTCCCAAGTGCAAGTCTGTGAGAACTTTGACTAAGCGTGGCTCTGCGGGTAAATGAGCTGGACTGAAAGGTTGGTTTGAACCACAAGGACAGCATGTAATAACAACACCCCAGGAAAATAGACACTGACAGTAACATCTTGAAACAAATCTCTTTCAGTGTTGTAGACATTCTTGCCTAAAGAAAAACAGAAGTAGCCCTGAGCACTAGGACTTTATAGTTACTAACCAGCATAGAAAGGTAAACACATATGGTAGCCACTTGTTTCTAGAACTTAGTCTACATCTATAAACACTGCTAACACGCTTAGTAGAGTACTGGTGTGATGCTGTAGGATAAGCAGTGGACTGCTAGCTGCAACATTGACAATTCAAACCCTTGAAACCCTATGTTGTTGTTGTTAAGTGTCATCAAGTCGGTTTCCACTCACAGTGACTTAGTATAGGGTTTCCAAGGAATGACGAGTATGTTTGAACTGCCAACCTTGCAGTTAGCAGTCCAGTGCTTATCCTATAGTGCCACACCAGGACTCCATTGTTGTTGGTGGTGGTTTCACTGAGTCGGTTCCGACTCATAGCGGCCCTATGTAGCATTTCCAAGGAGCAGTTGATGGGTTTGAACTGTTGACCTTGAGAGAATAAAGGCCAAGAATTAAAACTGGTCCTAGACTACTCCTTCTCTCCACTTTTATCCTTCTCTTCCTCCTTTTCTTCCTTCCTTCTCTCCCTACCGTCCTCCAACTAATATTTATTGAGTTTCTAACAGAAGCTGTGAAGATAATGAAGCTTACATGTCAGAGTCCCTCAGTTGCACAGATGTTTTCTAAGAACCCTTTGTTTCCTATTCTAAATAAATTGTTGAGTTTGTGCCTTTGGTAATTTTATATTCTTTTTCTTTAAACAAAGAACCAAACTAAATCCACTGCCATCGAGTCGATTCTGACTCATAATGAACCCATATAAGATTTCTGAGATTGTAAATTTTTACAGGAGCAGACAGCCTCATATTTCTCCCGAGGAACAGCTGATGGATCTGAACTGCTGATCTTTTGGCTAGCAGCCAATACCTGACCCACAGTGCTACCAGGGGTCATTTTAAAAGGGCTACCAAAATTGTACAAGGGGCTTCAAAAAGTTTGTGGAAAAAATGGAATTAAAAGATAATGGAATTTTTCCATGAACTTTTGAAGCCCCTTTATAATAAGTCTCAGGCACCCCCAAACCTGAATTTCCCCTAATTCCTACTTTGTGCCAAACATTATTCCATTTCCTTAACATTCTCCCTATTCTTGCCCAACAAGATTCCACTTGTAAATTAGGCTTATTCCAGTTTACAAATGTGCCTCTGTAGCGGAATCAGGTTTTCTCCACTCCATTTCTTCCTTCCCTTCTGGTTCAAGGGCAATGTGGATAATCCTGTTCATCCCAGTCCTCTGATGTCATTCTGACCATTAAGCTTCCTGCCTGCCAGGTTGTTAGAGTGACAACTCTACTGCTACCTGAAGGGGTGGCACTCCAGTTTTAAAGGAATGGCTAAGGGATTTATCTGGAGGCCATATTTGTTGCATAATCAATGTTCTTATTTGATTATATTTTAGAGTGGAATTTTTTTCTCCTCCCTTCTAATTTTCTCCTTGCTCCTGCCACAAAGATCATCAGTAACTTTCCTTCAGGGGAGAACTAGGTGATTGTAACAGAAGTTCTTTGTCACATATCGACTCAGAAAAAATATGATGACATGGGATTCTTTTTGAAGCAGCTGTCATTGTCAATCTGTGAGCATCACCTGGCTGTTGTCATTGACAGGAAGGTTCTCTGGGTCAGTCTGAAACTACAGTTTACGGTTGTTTATTTAATAATGGAAAATAAAGCAGGGTTAAGAATAATTGATATCTGTCTTTGAACTATATCAATACTTTGCAGCTGATTTTGTTCACTTAGATAAACATTCAGAATAACATAAATCAACTGGAAGCTGAAGGATGTGGCCAAGACTAAGAAGCAGTAACAAACAATTAGGGATTAAAATATTGTCACAATTCATAATCTGGATTAGGTACAAAAGAACGATCATCTTCATTTTATACAGCAGGAATTATTGTGAAAAGTCACATTCTATTCTCCACCCCACCACAAAAATATACTTAATATGGTTATTATGTAAAAATCAAACATTTAACATTTTCAACACTATCAATAATGCAAACTCACAGATACCTAAGTGGGAGCTTTTGTATTTCTGAAGACTACCTAAACTAAAAACATATTTCCTTATTTACATTAAACGTAAAAAAAACCCTGAAGAGCTAATGTTAAAATTCACTGAGTTGTAGAGATTTAATAGACTATGAATGGCATAAATTTGTCTGCAATCAAATGCACTTCATTAATTAGTACCAATATCTGGACAACAATTAAACCAAAAAAGGGTGAAACTGGGAAGGAAATATGTGGTTTTAAAGTTGTGTGACATATTTTTAGAAAATAGAAAAGTAATGCAAAATCAATTTCATGAACAAGATTTCTTATTGAATCCCGGATTGTCAGTTTGGGCAGTTTAATCCAGTCTGCCAGAGGGCAGTGTGCTGTGCAGTCTGCAGCTTTCTACTGACAGTGTCATCCATGCCAGGCTACATGCAGGAAGAGCCCTGGCTCACTGTTAGTTAGCAGCTTGGAGCACTTCATGCACTTTTCCCATCCGGGCTAGAGCCTTCTGTCTAGATTTAGTCCTGAGACATTACATGCCCTTCACCCTTCATAACAAAAAAATGTATTCTCAACATACTATAAAAATCATCTTTACTTTTTTTGCAGGTTGCAGCAGAGGTGGGGGTACCCATACATTATATATAGAAAAATTTCCCAGTAAGGTCCTGAATCTTATTTGATGTTTAAAACTGCTCACTTGCTATTCTTTAATATATATATATATATATATATATATGTATTTTATATTTTATTTATCTAAACGTGGCACTGTAGAATAAGCACTCACCCATAAAATCAGTTTGCACCAGAAGGTCAGCAGTTCAACCTCACTAGTGGCTCCTTGGAAACCCTACACAGGGTTGCTATGAGTCGGCACTTAACAACAGCAACATAAACTGATTAAGGAACCCTGCTGGTGTAATGGATTATGAGCTGGGCTACTAACTGCAAGGTCAGAAGCTCAAATCTACTAGTTGCTCTTCAGGAGATGCTTTCTGCTCCTGTAAATTTTTACAGGAGTTTTACAGCCTCGGAAACCCTATGTAGGGTTGCTATGAGTTGGAACCGACTTGGTGGTACACAACCATCACCACCATAGATTATTAAAAAGACTCAAGTTATGAAACTAGTGTTACGTTCCTTCTTCCCTATAACAGGGTCAGAAAAACCATGATGTTACTACAATAGTTTAAGGAGTTTGGCAATTTTTAGTAATGATCTATTTTAATGGTTCTCTACTCTTTGCTGGAGTCCTGGTGTGGTGCTGTGGGTTAATGCACCAGACTGTAAAGTCAGTTTGAACTGCAAGTTTGAACGACAGTTCAAGCTCAACAGCCACTCCTCAGAATCCTTATACAGGGTCACTATGGGTCAGAACCAACTCAATGGCACTTAACAACAACAACAACTCTTTGCTAGGAGTCCTAGTATGGTGCTATAGGATAAGCACTGGAGTGCTAACTGCAAGATTGACAGTTCAAACCCATCAGCCACTCCTCAGAAACCCTATACAAGGTCACTATGAGTCGGAACTGACTCGCTAGCACTTAACAACAACTCCTTGCTATTTCTGTTCTAGTTCATAAATAAAACTAGAAATGAATTAAGGCTCAGCCTTACCTTAAAGTTAATAGCTTTGTTGTCACAGGAGACGGTATAAATCCTTTGCATACATTTCACAGACATGCTTACTGCTAGGCCTCGGACTTCGCTATCTTTATACCTTCTTATCATAAATATGGTCTGGGGTGCATTATCTGAAATAAAAATTAATAAATGAGGACATTAGGTCAAAGAATTTTTGCAAATCAATATTTATGGAAATTAAGCAAAGGATAGTCCTAAAAGACCCATTACCAATCCTACACTCTTGAGATTCCACCAGTAAGGAGGAGACAATGTATAACTGATGAGATATTTTTAAAAATTCATTTAAATGTGTGTTATGGAAACAGCAGTCAAGAAATCAAACGATGTATTGCATTAGGTAAATCTGCTGCACAAGACCTTTTTAAAGTGTTGAAGAGCAGAGATGTCAGCTTGAGGACTAAGGTGCGC